TTTTTATTTTTAAAATTTTTTTATTTATTTATTTGTGTGTGTGTGTGTGTGTGTGTGTGGCCAGCTCAGCCCACCAGGGGGTGGGGCCGGCTGGCATGTGGTGCTGGGGGATCGAACCACGGTCCCTGTGCTTTGCTAAGCTTGTTCTAAGTAGGTGCTTTAGACCACTGAGCCATCTCACCAGCCCCAACAGTGTGTACATTTAAATTGTTGGTGGTGGCCAATATTTTGGAAGAAACAGCTTCCTTATGATTTGCCTCAAGTTCTGGTGGAAATACTTACAGGAACTATCACATAAACAAAAACCGAGAGAAGCACATTCAAAACACTAATTTACTTTGGTAGCAAATGGCTGTTCTTTGAAGACCAATGAAGGTAGACAAGACTATTAAAGTGAAATGGGCTATTTCAAATACTCGATACTTCATATAAAAATTTAAAAAAAATTGCTTTCTGTAGAAGAGCTAAGCATTTATGTCCACTGACAGCAATGCAGTACCTAATATACAGCCATTTAAACAAAACAAATCCCAGAGGGAAAACAATGCTGTTTAATTTCACCTAGGTTTACTTCTAGTCAATATACAAGCAATGCCTTCTCTCTGACACAACACCCTCCCCTTTTCTCTAAGGCTGTTCCTGGGGGCCAGTTTCAGGAGCAAGGGAGTTGATTTAGGTGTAGCTCCTTGCAGTTTTACACAGACAGTAACGGTTTACCTCCCTCTTAAAGTGCTAATAGTTGTGTCTAAAAATATATGCAATTTTTAAAAGGTACCATTTCTGATTTATTATCTGTAACCTTTGGAAACTAATCAAATGAAAACTAAAGAATACCAAGTGTTTTTTTTTTTTAATTTTATTTATTTATTTGTGTGTGTGTGTGTGTGTGTGTGTGTGTGTGGCCAGCTCAGCCCACCAGGGGGCAGCGCTGGCTGGCATGTGGTGCTGGGGGATTGAACCGTGGTCCCTGTGCTTTGCCAAGCTTGTTCTAAGTAGGTGCTTTAGACCACTGAGCCATCTCACCAGCCCCATTATACCAAGTGTTTTGAAATCTGTATATAAAACATAAATTACCTCTAATTTCAAACTCTCACTTATTAGTGTACCACTCAATCTTAAGAAAAATGAAAAAGTAAAAGCAAAAGCAGCAGCAAAGATAGTCTTATACCATTCTTTAAAAAAGGAAACTGGGGGCCAGGGAGATGGCTCAGTGGAATAAGCGCTTCCCTGGCAAGCACAAAAGTCCTGAGTTCAATCCCCGGTTCTGCAAAAAAAAAAAAAAA